CTCTCCCAGCCACCCTTGCAGCCCTGTCTGCGCATATGCAGTAGAGCACAGCCCCTTGGGCCCCTGCAGCATCCCTCCAGCAATCCCACCCTCTCCCACCTCTCCTGAATCATCACTTTCTTGCTTCCACTACTTATTTATTTTTCCCTCTTGTTATCCTTTCACCTCCCTCATCACCACTGCCACGACCACATCTTTTTCCTGTTGCCACAAAATTCCTCTCTAGACTTGTCCATACTCACTGCCTCCAAACCCTCTTCCCATATTCGATTGAATATTTCTGTGACGCACTCACACCCACCACTCTTCCCAAACTGCTTCCACGATGTGTCCAGTGACCTCCATCTGGACTGCCAGGGTTCACTTCGTGTCCTCACCCTGCTTTACATAGAAGCATTTGACCACTCTCTCTGTCTCCTTCTTTTTTTTTATAATTTTTTAAAATTTCTTATTTATTATTTATGATAGTCACACAGAGAGAGAGAGAGAGAGGCAGAGACACAGGCAGAGGGAGAAGCAGGCTCCATGCACCAGGAGCCTGACGTGGGACTCGATCCCGGGTCTTCAGGATCGCGCCCTGGGCCAAAGGCAGGCGCCAAACTGCTGCACCACCCAGGGATCCCTCTCTGTCTCCTTCTTGATAGACTTGGTGTCCCTTGGCTTCCAGGACACCAAGCTCTTGGAACTTATTTCCTCTTATCTCAATGCTTCCTCTCAGTTTCCTTTGCTGGCTCCCCAACTTTCCCCAGATCCTTAATGCAGAGTGCCCTCGGGGCTCAGCCCTCAACACCCCGTGCAGCTATACTTCTATCTCACCCATACCTCTCTGCTGAGCTCCAGACCCGCGTTCCCAATGGCCTCCTCCACATTTCCACTTGAATGCCTAGGAGACATCTCAGCTTTAACCTTAATGAGCAGATCTTTTTATTTTATGTTTTCCTGAAGGCAGATCATTGTGTAAATCATTCCCACTGAATCCAAGGTAATTCTTAAGAAGTTTTAATTTTCAAAAAGTATCTTTGGTAAAGTCTTAGTATCAGGCATCAAGTCACAGCTGTATTTTGATCACTAAGGCCTGTTTTGTTTTTCTGCATAGTGTTTCCTCCTCATGAGTTGTGAGGAGAATTTGTGAGGCAGCCCCAGGAACTAGTAGACACGTTGTGGATCTGATCAAAGATCAATTGAGGAGAGAGACAGGTGTTAGTTTCCTGCAAGAAATGCCAAAGCTATTCATGACATGCCCTCCAAGGAGAAGAGAGTACACCCAGCAGGACCAGCTGCAGTCAAGAGTGCCACGTGCAAATTTTACACATTCTCATGACTCTTTCATCCTTGCACCAACCTGGTACAGGCCTGAGAGCCAGCTGGCATCCTGGACAAGTGCTCTGAGGGGAGAAACACAGAGCTCCATGGAGCTCTTAAAGCTACAAGGTGTCCTAGGGGCACCTGGCTGGCTCAGAGTGTAGAGAGTGCGACTCTTGATCTCAGGGTTGTGAGTTTGAGCCCCACCTTGGGTGTGGAGATTACTTAAAAATAAAATCTTTAAAAAAAATTAAAAGGTGTCCTAGCCCAATCAGCTTGAGGTCCGAACCAACTTGAAGTCCAACATGGTCAGGTCTTTTGACTTATTGCCATGAAGGAGGCTGAACCCCAGGAGACTCATGGCTCATCTCACCAAACAAAGGATAAGAGTTAGTACAGGATTTAGGAGCGAAGCAATGTTTTAATAGGCTCCAAGCAAGCAGGGCTGTGTGAAAAGAGGTCTATCTCGTGTCTGAATTGCAAAGTGGACCTAGGGTCATCTTAGAAGGTTGACCCTTCAACAACATAGGGGTTTAGGGATGCTAACCCCCTGCATAGTTTAAAATTCACACCTAAGTTTTGATGCCCTAAAAACTTAACTGTAAATAGCCTACTGTTGCCTGGAAGCACTAGTGATAACATAAACAGTAAACTGACACATATTTTGTATATTATATGCATTATATGCTGTACTTTTATAATAAAGCAAGCTAGAGAAAAGAAAGTGTTATTAAGAAAATCATAATGAAGGGCACCTGGGTGGGTCAGTGGTTGAGCATCTGCCTTTGGCTCAGACTGTTATCTCAGGGTCCTGGAATCAAGTCCCACATCAGGCTCCCCACAGGGGGCCTGCTTCTCCCTCTGCCTCTGCCTCTGTGTGTGTGTGTGTCTCATGAATAAAGAAATAAAATCAGGCACCCCGGGTGGCTCAGCGGTTTAGCGCCACCTTCGGCCCAGGTCATAGTCCTGGAGACCCGGGATTGAGTCCCATGTCGGGCTCCATGCATGGAGCCTGCTTCTCCCTCTGCCTGTGTCTCTGCCTCTCTCTCTCTCTGTGTGTCTCTCAGGAATAAATAAATAAAATTTTTAAAAAATAATAATAACTTTAAAAAGAAAAGAAAAGAAAATCATAAGGGAAGTGCAAAAAATGCCAGAAGAGCAGTCAAGGAGACTTCGATAGTGATAGGTATTTGAGATGCTGTGATGGCTCTAAGACCATGTAAGCCCTGTACAATTAATTACTGCAGAGAGAGGCTTCCAGGACTTTCTCCAAAGAACATACAGACAGGTCTGGGAACAAAGATTGGTTCCTGAGTGATAGCCAGCCAGAAACTGAAGATCTCAATCCTATAACCACATAAGTGAATTCGACCAACAAAGTAAAAGGGCTTGGAAGCAGATTCATACCTAGAGCATTCAGTGATCCTATGATGGGTTCATAAATATTTACAAATAAAATATCCTTATGTCATATCCTTATCCTGACTACCCTACAGAATACATATTTAAAAGTCTTTAGAGTTGACACACAATGTTTCAGGTGTACAATATAGTGCTTTATCATCTCTATACTATGCTATGTTCACCACAAGTGTGGCTACCTTCAGCTCCCATCTGACAACACACTACAATAGCATTGACTCTATTCCCTGTTATATTTTTTATTCCCATGACTTATTTATTCCATAACTGGAAGCTTATACCATACATAATATTGCATTAACTGAGGGGACCACTCTCTTTTCTCCAGGGTTCACAATTTTGCCTCTTCCCAGCTTGGGTAAAGAATCTGCTACAAATGAGGATATCATAATTTCAGAGTATTTAGTCCTAGGTACAGGGAGATACCTGCTACCTCCACAAGGCCATTTGATACACCAACTTCCAGCTGCCAAGTTGAAGGTCTGGCTTGAATTCCACTGGAAAAGAATCACTTTACAGGTGGTGTAAAGGAAAAAGCAGAGCTTCCCACCTCCAGACATCTGATCAGTTCAGATCAGGCATCTATATCAAAACCTAGGTTCTATTATGCAAATTCAAGGATCTGATTTCAAATGCCAATGTTTTCCAAAGGTGCTCCCCCTTAATTTTAAGAATAGCAAATGTTCAAATAAATTTTATACGTTGCAAAAAAGTAAAGAAAATCGTAAGAGAAATTACATTTACAGTACTATACTGTGTTTATCAAATTTTAAAAAATCTGTATATAAGTAGACTATGAAGTTCAAACCCATGTTTCTCAAGGGTCAAACATACAGTTAAAATAGCTGCAAAATGTTGTGTCTAGCCCCCATCATCTGAAACTCTGCATCTGAATTGTATATCGAAGCTGCTTCTGTGTCAAAGTGACTCAGAGGTAAGAATGGGATATTCATTTTTACTGATATAATTTTAAACAGCAAGGTTTTTGATAATCGATGCTCTTTTAGAGAACAAGGTTTCTCAGTAAGTGAAAAATGCAGTAGTCGCTCAAACAAAGGGGTTGTTAAAACACTTCACGGTTGCAGCATGTCCTTTGGAAAAATGTTCAGCCAGAAATTTAGCAGAAATTTACTTTCTCAGTTCAGGTTAATATTTACTTTCTCAAGGACCGGAGCAGGATGTGGGGGATGCAGGGGAGCAGGTGGCAAGTGACACAAGGACTTGGTTAAACTTTTGCTTTCTTTGCAATTCACTCTGTAGCTCTCTTGCATTTTCCTTCTGTGCATCTCCCTTCCACTCCCAGTCTTTTTTTTTTTTCACTCCCAGTCTTGAGAAGAAAACAGGGTATTAATATTCTCTGCCTCACCCTACAAGCCTTTCATCCCCAAAAGCCCTGGGCCCCAAGCATGACGTAGGAAGTGAAAGTGTTAGCTGGGGGGCTGTATCTGTTTGAGGAAAGTAAAATATCTTCCTTTGAGACTTGGCAGGTGAAGTCATTTCAAAGCTGATGACTGTCCTATAAAAGCCACCTTCTCCTCTGACACCTCTGGGATGGTTCGAGCCTATAACCCTGTTCAAAACTCTCATATTCAAGTCTAGCAATTAACATTTTATGTACTTGCTTAATATGGCTGTTATTTCAAGCAAGTTGTAATCTTTTTGAGAGAAGGAATGTTGCCATAAATATGTGTGTGTGTTTAATATGCATATAAACAATCTTTTGGTCTTTCTTAGGAGCCCTCAGTGGTGCTGAGCACAGAATAATCAGCTAATACCTCCCGCCCAGGTTGGTGCTGGCACAACACTGGGACAAGACCCCTTGTCCTTTCCCATTTGAACAGAAAATTCAGTAACAGGTGAGAGGTTAGGGAGAGTGTAGAGCCAAAACCATACATTGGCAAGAGGCTGCCCTCTTGGCCTAGGAATTTTTAACTCTTCAAAAATGAAAATAGGGAAGGGCAGTTAATTTAAAAATTAAAGCAGGCTGAGGGGATCCTCTATCTGAGCACCAGTGACCATCTTGGAGGGGTACAGGATGAGATACCCCAAATATGCCACTTTGGCATAAAAATTATTTCTAGTTGAAAGTAATAAAAATCGGGCAGCCTGGGTGGCTCAGCAGTTTAGTGCCGCCTTCAGCCCAGGGTGTGATCCTGGAGACCTGGAATCGAGTCCCACGTCGGGCTCCCTGCATGGAGCCTGCTTCTCCCTCTGCCTGTGTCTCTGCCTCTCTCTCTCTCTCTCTCTCTGTGTCTCTCATGAATAGATAAATAAAATTAAAAAAAAAAGAGAGAGAAGGGAGAGCTTGTACCAGGAAGAGAAGTACTAACAGAGACCCCCTTTACCAAAGGAACTCAGCTGCTTGATAGAACAATCCTGTTTTTGCAAACATCTCCTTTCACCTTTTCACTACTTTTCATGCCTTTGTGACCTCAGGCCTTAAGTTTAAGCTCATACGAGCTTCCATTGCCTCATCATCTTCAGAGCTTCATGTCTGTCTGGATTCCCATCTGTATACACTTTAAATTTGATTTTCTCCTGTTAATATGTCTCATGCCAATTAGGTTCAAAGTCCAGCTGGAAAGACCACAGAGCAGAGGGAGGTCTTCCTCCCCAACGACCCCCACCTTGTCAGTCATGAGGAGGACGGATGCTATGGGCTGACTCTATTGGACGTGAGGATTAGGATCCTGACTGATCCTCTTTTGCCTCCTTCTTCGTTTCTTCTTCCTCCTTCTTTGCCTTCTCTTCTTCCTCCTCTGCTCGTTCCTTTCTGCCTCACCTACTTCCTTTTCTTTCTCTCTCTTCTATTTTTCTCCCACATCTTTGTGGAAATCAAAGTGTTTCCCAGACTCACTGCCCAGCTGCAGCGTCGCTTCATAACACCCCCACGCCGTTTCCAGGGCCAATGGTCTGTCCTCTCTGCCCATTCAGGATGCTCCAAGGGGACCTCTGAAAGCATAGCATGACCTGCACCCAGTTGCTGGAGTGTCAAGACATTGGTTAATAAAAAGTAGTTGTGGTATCACAATTTACAGTGTTTAATTACAAATCTACAGCAGGAGGCAGACCTATCAACAACATAAGCCTCTTTTGCTTATTATCCGGTTTGTTTGATTGTTTGAGATTTTAAAAACAAGAGAGGGCTACAGATTACACAGCAGGAAATTCCCCGGATGTAGGTAACATATGTGACCTTCATCTCTTGGAGAGAAAAGTGAAGATCCAAGGTACATACTGCCCTAGGAACATTGCCCCCAACACCTATTTTAAAAGCAAATCATTTACCAGCATTACAATTATTTAAGTTTCAACTCATGGTTTTTCTCTGTCTGGGTCCAGAACCAATGTACTCTGAATTGGGACACCTTTGGGAAGGATGGGGGGGGGGGCATGCCAGCCATGTGCCTCCTGCAGTGGTGATTTCCCACAATTTCCCAAGCTCAGCAAGATTCCTACAGGATCAGCCTCACTCTTGGCAGCGAACACAGTAGCCCTGGAATCACTTCCCCCTGGCCTAGAGAAGCCTCTGCAATCTCTGACCCATGAATCCTACTCCTATCTTTCCAGCTCCTCCCTCCAGTAAATAAATCTCCTTAGATCCCACCAGGATATACATTCAGATTGGGTCTACTGCCTCTTCCCTGGCTCCTTACCACGATGTATTCACTTTGATCTTTTTCCAGCTTAAATTGCATGCACACATTTTTTTTTAAATGACTGCAACAAAACAGATATACATATATAACACTGCAGCTTCTGGAAGAAGTTTGTTCTTGCCAGTCTTGTGCCTCTCCTTGAACTTGGCCTTGGCCTTTCTTCAGGCCTTGTGTTTAGGGGCAGGGTCTCAGAAGACATCCTGTTTGAGGTCAGTTTTGTCCAAGGGGCTATTCACAGAGTACTTCATTGGCATGAGGCGATTGTAGTTGTGAACTTTCACCAAAGATTTTATCTTTGACCTCTTGGCGATTTCCTTCTTGCCCATGGCAGCTGTCACTTTGTGTGGGGCATAGCGGTCAATTCCAGACACCAGAGTGTGGCTGTAGGGACAGTCTGGGGTGCCCTCACCAATGTTCTTCACAATGAACAGTTTGCATCCAGAGTGGCATCCAGCCAGGACCAGCACCGCCTTCCCGGCTTTCATGAACTCGCCCATCTTAAGCACCAGCCACTTGAGCCTACAGCAGAAAGGAAGAAACCGCACTTCCACTTAGACAATCATTTTAATCATTCCTTCCTTTATCCTCAACTCATTTGTCTGTCTTCAGGAAAAGTGCCCTCACTCAGCCAAACCACAGCTCTAGTTGAATCCAACTCTGTGTCTGCTCCACATGCTGAACATGGCTGAAGAACAGCTAAGAGCTAAGCTGATGTATTTAAATTGACAAACTTCTGGGGCCCTTGGGTGGCCCAGTTGGTTAAGTATCTGCCTTTGGCTCAGGTCATGATGCCAGGGTCCTGGATCGAGCCCTGCATCAGTTTCTCTGCTCAACAGGGAGTCTGCTTCTCCCTTTCCCTAGGCCGCTCTCCCTGCTTGTGCTCTCTTGCTCTCTCTCTCTCTCTCAAATAAATAAGTAAATAAAGTCTTTAAAAAAAAAATTGACAAACTTCTGTTGGGCCTTGACTGCTACCCAGCTAGCACATTATCCTGCCCTAGCCCATTCTCTCCCACACTCCTAGGCGAGTACTTTACACTTTGTCCTCTTTTTTCAAACTTCCAATGTCTCCCCTAGCTCACTTTAAAGGAGCGATCTTGCTTCCTGCTTTACTTAGTGAATTGAAGCATTTTCAAAGAATTTCCACCACTCCCAGGACCTCATAGTCTCAGTATCTTTGAGCACATATGCTGCCCTCTCTTCTGTCACCAGAGGTGATCTCTCCACGTGTCTGTCAGCCAATCCTTCCCAGGTCCTCCTATGACACTTCATTCTCTCCAACTTGAGCCAGCCTGTCAGCACACAAACACAGTTGTTTCTCTCACCTTAAACCAAAACAAAACAAACAAACAAACAACAACAAAAGACAAGCAAGAAAGAAAACTCTTGACTCTTCCCCACTGGGAACCACCCTACTTCTTTGTCCTCCCATATCGAGCACTCCTCCAAAGAGCGCATACTGTCTCTGGTTTCTCTCTCCCCATTTTTTCTTAAACCTATTCCAACCAGGCTTTGCCTCACGGCTCCCCTGTTACTGCTCCTGGCAAAGCCACCAATCACCATGGATAAATCGAATAGTCCTTTATCTTACTTGACCTATCAGCATTTGGCACAGTGGATCACTCCCTCCTTAATATGCGTTGTTTCTTGGGATCCAGGATGCCACACTTCACCTGGTTACCTGGTTTTCCTTCTTCTTCTCTGGTTTTTCCATTGGTGACTCTGTCCTTCCTTCCAGCTCCCAGTGTTGCCATACTCCTGTACTCAGTCCTTGGACTTCTCCATCTGTATTTTCTTTTTTTTTTTTTTAAACATACAAACAGTACAGACACTTTTTAAAATTTTTTTTTTCATTTATTTTTGATAGTCACACAGAGAGAGAGAGAGAGGCAGAGACACAGGCAGAGGGAGAAGCAGGCTCCATGCACCGGGAGCCCGACGTGGGATTCGATCCCGGGTCTCCAGGATCGCGCCCTGGGCCAAAGGCAGGCGCTAAACCGCTGCGCCACCCAGGGTTCCCTCCATCTGTATTTTCACCCACTACCTTGGTGAGCTGATGCACTGACCATATCTTGACAAATTCCAAGTTCATAATTTATCTGTGACTCACACCTCTCTCCCCAGCTTAACCTCAACTACTTCAGCTGCCTCCTCGACTTCTCAAATTTCACATTTCCAAAACCTAACTCTTGATATTCCCCCTTAGACCTGAAAATAAAAAGTACCTAGTAACCAGTGACATGCTTATAGAAAAGTCTCCAGAAATATATGTATATAAATTATAAATAAAAATACACACAGGGGTGCTCAAATGTCAACCCGATTAGTGTCTATAACCAAAGGAATTTGGAAGCCACTATCTTAACGTCTAATCTTCACTCAAAGTTTTCATGGAGAAAGAAACATTATTCCAAGCACTTTCTTTACTCATCACAGCAACTCAGTGCATTCATTGTGTGATGTCCTTCCCATCCAAGTATGTGGCAAAGTAGGAATTTGAACCTAGATCTGCCTGTGAAAAGGGTTCATGTTTTTTCCTAATAAGAAACCATCCAGTCCTTCACCAAAGTTCTGACTGTCAGGATTTTCTAGAAGAACAATTACTGAAGTATTAATCCTACCAAAATTCTCTAAGGACCCTTTCCTCTCAGATTATACTCATATTTTGTGGATATCAGTACAATGGAGGTGGTGACAGTATTTCCACACATGTGGTTTGCACTGTTAAACACTCTCAATCTTCTCACCTTCTTCCACATGATGCGATGGCTTGGGCTCTGTCATTCTCCCGTCAGTCTGGACCTTAGTCTCTGACATACATACACACGTCTTCATAGACCATCTTAGGAGAAAGTTTCATCAAACAAGAGCTTCAGACATCAGACACTTCCAATTGTTGTTGCATTGGGCTCGGTGCTGCTCCATAATGCTGGGTGTTCAGCTGAATATTTGGAAAATGAATCCCATGGACTTGAGGAGTTCATGACTTACAGAAGAGACAAGCAGATCAATGATTAATTAGCTATGCAACAAGCCCTCACTGTCTGAATCCAGCTGGGCCCTGAGCTCAGAAAACAGAATCTAAGGCTCAGAAGGTAACTATACTGTGTGACCTCTGGCTTATTAACCATAAAATCATCTCCCTGAGGGTGGATTCGTGACTTCTCCTAGGAACTGGCCCAAGGCCTAGCTTAGAGGAATACAAGTGTTTGTTGGGGGAAAAAAATGCAGATTTGTACATATCAAGTCCTTAGAGAAACAATGAGAAAGATACTTAATCTCCCTTGGTGCAGGGACCCCTGGGTGGCTCAGCAGTTGGGCATCTGCCTTCAGCTCAGATCATGATCCTGGAGACCCTGGATCGAGTCCCACATCAGGCTCCCTGCAGGGAATCTGTTTCCCCCTCTGCCCATGTCTCTGCCTCTCTGTGTGTCTCTCATGAATAAATAAATAAAATCTTTAAAAAAAATTTCCCTTGGGACAATAGGTCAAGAAAGGATTCACAAACGACTTGGGCTTTAAGCTGAGAAGTTGGCAAGGGGAGGAAGGGCATTCTGGGCAGAGGAAAACCTCTGTTGCAAAGACATGGAAAGAAGGATTTTGGTTTTTTTTTTTTTTTTTGAAAGAAGGTTTAAAAGAGCTCATGACAGGGCAGCCCGGGTGGCACAGCGGTTTAGCGCCACCTGCAGCCCAGGGCGTGATCCTGGAGACCCTGGATCGAGTCCCACGTCAGGCTCTCTGCATGGAGCCTGCTTCTCCTTCTGCCTGTGTCTCTGCCTCTCTCTCTCTCTCTGTCTCTATGAATAAATAAATAAAAAATAAAAATAAATAAAAAAAAATAAAAGAGCTCATGACAGAGTTGCCTGCGTGGCTCTGACAGTTAAGCACCCAACTCTTGATTTCAGCTCAGGTTGTGATCTCAGGGTTGTGAGATTGAGCCCTGCGTTGAGCTCCACTCTTAGCACAGAGTTTGCTTGTTCTTCTTCCTCTACTCCTCCCTCTGTACATGCTCTTTCTCTCTCAAATAAACAAATAAAATCTTAAAAAAAAAAAAAAAAGAAAGAAAGAAAGAAAAGAAAAGAAAAGAAAAGAAAAGAAAGAAAAGAAAAGAAAAGAAAAGAAAAGAAAAGAAAAAGCCCTCATGAGTCCAGGGAACCACATGGTGCTCATCATGGCTGTCACAGAAGTGGGGGGAGGGTCCCTGAGAGAGGTGTGTGACTGGGCAGGAAAAGGCAGCACTAATGCCTCCTTCGGCCTGAAGTATCTTCAGGCCTGACAAGGAAACTTATTTCCATCTCATGCCTTTGAGTGGACTTCTTCCCCAGCCCCCTAAGGTTTCCCCTTTCCTATTCTTCCCAAGCACCTTGCCTTGAGCATCGTTGCAAGGACAGGCTGGCACTGTTCACAGTTACTCCTAGGTTTACCTTGGCTCACATTCTCTTGCCTCACCTCTCAGAAGGGAGAGTTGTCCTTTTGAAATTCATGTGGTTATCATAGAGCCTGGCAGCTCCAGAACAGGTCTCTCAAACCCTAACAACATATAGGATATTCCAGGGCTGCTGGATCCAGGCATCCCCAGAGGCAAAGGAGAGTTTGGAGAAAAGTTCTCTGAAGGCTATAGATTCCCTCCTCAATTCCCCAAGAGTGGGGTGGCAAACATATTTGTTCGGACAGTATTTATTGAGCATTGTTTCCAAGCTCACTTGCTGCCTCTCCTTCACGCTTTGATGGAACTCTTTTCCTGGTACCTCAACACCTAGTACACTTGAGCTATATGTCAGGCCAATTCTAACCGCTTTATAAGAATAACTCAGTACATTTTCACAACAAACCCCTGAGGTAGGCGGTCTCATTATTCTTCTTTTGTAGATGAGAAAACTGAGGTAAAAGATGTCGAGTTACTTGTCAAGATCACCTAGCAAGTCAGTGGCCAAGTCAAGAATAGGATCCAGACGTTCACTGCCGAGCCTGTGCTTGTAACCCAGCGTACTGCTGCCTCTCCTCACACATTAGACCTGGAACACAGATAAACTTCCTTTTCTCCCTGCTCCAGAGGATACATTTTTTGTTTTGTTTCTTAGCGTTTTTCTTACTTGCTTTCCTAAGCATGTGTTAACACATCTCTTCTAACACTTTCTTTATGTCAGCTTACCACAGTCTGAGTGAATTCATTTCTAAAATCTAGCTCTATGGATTATTTGCTCCTCAGAGCTGAGCTGGGAAGAATTGGGTCTAACCAACGGAGGTGTGGCTTCTCCCTGAGGTAACTCAGGCCTTCCCAGGGCACTTGTCTTGCTCCTCAGAGCACAACCCAGCCCGCAGCTCACACATCAGAATTCACAAAACCTTCAGAATTCACAAAACATATAAAAAAATTATATGTTCTCATTCATCTGGGGAATATAAATAATAGTGAAAGGGAATATAGGGGAAGGGAGAAGAGGTGTGTGGGAAATATCAGAAAGGGAGACAGAACATAAAGACTCCTAACTCTGGGAAACGAACTAGGGGTGGTAGAAGGGAAGGAGGGCTGGGGGTGGGGGTGAATGGGTGATGGGCACTGAGGGGGGCACTTGACGGGATGAGCACTGGGTGTTATTCTGTATGTTGGCAAATTGAACACCAATAAAAAATAAATTTATTATTAAAAAAAAAGAATTCACAAAACCCTGGATTTGTATGTGAAACACATCAAAGAGTAGAACTTTAAGTAGTAGCATAAGCAGAACATAGGAACACAGTTCCAGATTCAAACCTGAGCCAACTTCCTCACTCAGTTTATCCAGTGACATTGGATAAACTGTAAAACTTCCCTGAGCCTCAGTCTCTTTATCGCTGAAAGAGCGACGATAGCTTTCCTAGCCCAAAGACCTGGGAAGCATCAATTTAACTGATCACATGTGAAGAGCTTTGCATAGTATCTGACACAATGAGTACTCAAAAAAAAGTTCGCTTTAAAAAAATTATTCTCCCCTCAACAAACTAGGGATAGAAGGAAATCACTTCAACATAATGAAGGCCATATGTGACAAGCCCACAGAGAACATCATACTCGGAGGTGAAATGCTGAAAGTTTTTCCTCTAAGATCAGGAACAAGACAAAGATGCCCAATCGCACCGTTTCTATTCAACATGGTGTTGGAAGCTCTAGCCAGAGCAATTAGCCAAAAAGAAATAAAAGGCATCCAAATTAGAAAAGAAAAAGTAAGATTATCTCTGTTCACAGATGACCTGATTTTATATGGAGAAAACCCTAAAGGCTCTCCACACACACAAAAAAACCGTTAACACTAATGTGCAAATTCAGAAAAGTCGTAGGATACAGCTCAACACAAAAAATATCAGTTGTGTTTCTATACACTAACAATAAATAACCCAAGAAGGAAATTAGGAAAGCAACCCCATTTATAGTAGTATCAGAAAGAACAAAATACCTGGGTAGCTCAGTCAGTTAAGTGGCTGACTCTTGATTTTGGCTAAGGTCATGATCTCAGGGTCCTGGGATTGAGGCCCACGTTTAGTACCATGCTCAAGGGGAGTCTGCTTGTCTCTCTTCCTGTCCCTCCCCCTGCTCATGCTCTCCCTCTCTAAAATAAATAAATATTTATTTATTTAACTGGCATAGTCAGTTAGGCATCTGACTCTTGGTATTGGCTCAGCTTGTGATCTCAAGGTCAGGAGATGAAGCCTGGCATCAGGCTCCTGAGCAGAGTCTGCTTGGGTCTCTCTCTCCTTCTCCCTCTGTTCCCCCACTGAATAAATACATATATACATACATACATACATAAATTCTAAATAAAATCTT